ATATTATGACTTAAAGTGTGATGAACTGATGTGATTCTGAAAATTAAGCGATAATAAATCAATCGTAAGAAAATATTATTAGAACTTTGTAGCAAATCGTATTAACATTTATAACATTTTATGTTTTATGATTTGAGTGATTTGACGTTAAATAACTCATATTATCCATAAAATAATAATCTCAACGATATCACCATTCATCAACCAAATATATGGCTTATCCGCACAATTTAAAATGTTTTAAACAATTTTTTCATACTTACCTAACCACGCAACCATCTCGTATTTAATAAAGATGATGATATCATCAATGTTCATAACAATTATAACATTCACTTAGCCATCGTAATTATACAATTCATAAAATGAAGCATTCAAATTATTCACAACTCTTAATGCATGCATTCGTACTGAATAAAATTTGAATAACAACTACATGTTTTAATTGCGAATGGCGCAATTTGTATAAAACTGCAAAGGTTAGCGTAAATTCTGGTGTGCTCGTAATCAGTAGATTGCCTTTAAGAATAATATTGTATTCTCACTATTTTTCGCTTGAGTCATCTCCATGATTATTATGGCGATTCGAGCGTACATCGTGCGACTTTTTAACTATACAAGTATCGAGTTCCTAAATTATTTATTTTTAAATTTACACGATAAAGAAAAAGTAGATTTATCGCTTTAATATATGTAATATTTTATAGCTAAATAACACGTAGGCTTCACTCGTGTCTCGTGATAACAAAATAAAAAAATCGTTAAATTATTAAAATGTACAAACAAAATATTGCCACATCGAAATGTCTGTGTATCCTCCCTTCCACTAAGCTGGCCAAATATGGTGAAAAAAAGCAGTGTAACACTTGAGGAGGAGGGAACAATTGTTTGAAAACAATTGTTAAATTGTATTCAAAAGTTTCGTTAGTAAAAAAAAAATAAAATAAAAACAAAATACAATATAATATACTTTTCCCTCCCATCCTCAAACTTAAAATTGTAAAACAGAGACCCGCAAAGACACTGGGAATAATGTGTAAGGACTTTAAAATTTGTAGCACTTAAACGCCTTGAATATTTAAATCAAATGTTTTATGAGTTTTGAATATTAATTTGACTACTAATTTAACTAATTTTCGATTTATTTTTTTTTTTTTTTTTTTTAATATCGTACCGATTTATGAACAACAAAAAACAAATTATAACAATTCAAGGACTTTTTTGTAATATTATTCATTATGACATTTTAATTATGTTACTTCGAGCGAAATTAGAATATTTCTTTTCGTACGCGGTATTTGTTGTTTTATCCTTCTCCCTTCACCACTCCAATAATCTTACTAGATTTCTTCCAATACGATGGGCAAACGATGAACGAAACGGCAAAGCCATGTGTAAAATTGCTGAGTATCTTCTATGTAATAATAATATGTTATGGTTAGGTATAAAAATTGATCATTATTGCGAATATGTGTGTACAGCCTGTGGCTGTGATGTCGTATAATCCAATTTCAGCAGGTTGCATAGTATTATAATAACATTCATAACATTATATCGTTAAACCGTAAACATGCGTTGCCTGAGCTGTATGCGAGTTCACAGTTCGAAATAACGCAACAGACAATGCTCGTATAGCCATCGTTTGTTATAAATAAATAAAATATTTATGATAAAAATATTATTTGATATGCGGTTAACAGACAATGTCATGTCCAAAAATCACAACTTTTCAATAGGAATTTACGAAAGTACGAAATCTCTTTGTTAATCGATAAAATATTATACGAATATTTTAGTATTTATAGACAGTGATAAATAATTGCATTTGTTTAAAAAAAAAATACGTAAGCATATGCCTTTTTAACGTATAATAGAAGTAGGTAAAACCATACGATAAAATTAAAAACAACCTTCGCTATTTTTAAACACTATTTGTTTGACCATTTATTATGAAAGTTACCGTAAGTGGTTTGTATACTTTAAAAATATTGTTTTTGGATATTACTTGAAGCATTTTTCCGAAAAAAAAAAATGTGTGTATTTTACATCATAACTTTAACAAGAGTAGACCAATCAAAATTATCCGGTGCTACAACTGCGCTTAACATAAGCATAATATGATGTGCACACATACACACATATATTAACCTTCTAAGCCAAAATAAAAAAGTCAAATAAAAAAATATAAAATTCAGTTTATTTAGGTGAATTTTTCGATGTGGTAGGTCTGAAATAAAAACAATGTTTAAACAATCAAGACACCATAAATTGTAAAAATGTACAGTTATTAAGAAAAAAAATGCCATAAAATAATAACTATACTAAGCAAAAATATGGTATATAGAAACTGTTGTATTTTTGCTTAGTCTGTAAAAATATTTACAAATATACTTAAATTATACACAATAATTTATAAGTTATAATTATTGTAATTAAATAAAACACTTAGATATTCACAGTATTTTAGATAATCTAACATGTTTCTATAATTTCTATAAATACTAAGAAACTATGAATGAATGTAAAAATTAAGGTACTATTGTTTTTATTAAAAAAGTCATTGTATTTTTTAGTAAATTAAAATATTATATCATATACTATAAGATATAGAAAATGTAATATTAGTATTATATTCAAACTTTTTAAATAGATGATCTGATGATATTTATATAAAATAAAACTTTCAAATGTCAATAAATAGCTCTAAAAGAGTCAAAATATTTTGAAATATTTTATCATGTACAGAAAATGATAATATAAGCATTTAATGAAATTACTCGCAGTATCTTCGGCAATAAATACAATTTATTTGTTTTCTAGTGACATCAAAAAAATAAAATCGATTTTTTTAAATACTGGTTTTGCGTAAAACAAGATGTTTTTTCTTAGAAATTTCAAAACATAGGTAGATAGGTATATCACAAAAAACAACAAATTAACAATGAATTGATACTTGATAACAATATGGTAAAGTTTGTACGAGTAAGTGACAATGAAAATTGTGTATAAATGTTTAATTAAATAGTTTAATGTAATATGGAATATTATTACGTAATTGTTGAAGTATAGCCGCAGTTATTAATTTATTTAACGCATTCATCTATTAAAACATCAATTGGTATTAGGATTTTTTTTTTTTTTGATCTAAAGCACATGAGGTAACACTATTTTAATAATTAATTATTTGTTACTTGTGACGACTATAATATGCGCAATATAGTTTCTTTGTTTAAATAATATATATTTATGTATAATATGACGTGATCCTATTGTAAAATAAAAATGTTATTATTTTGATAGTTTAATTAGTTACGTATTTTATTTTTAACAGTATAAAATTGCATGCAGCCGTTAAAAAGTAATAATTAAAAAATGGCTTTAAATGAGAATAAGGGTTACGAGAGCCCACTAATGGTCTGGTGTTTAGATGAATATTTTATCTGGGCTTATGTGTACGGTACAGTTATTCTTCTTAATGCCATAACCGAATTTCCCGTAAAGAATAATTTACCAAGCATGTTCAGTGTTCACTCACAATTTATATTTAAATAATTTTTTATTAAAATAGCAGGTAGTATATTTTCAAAAGCCATATTAAAAAAAAAAAGAAAAAAGTTTCTTTATACCCGTGTAACCTGTGTCACGTGTTAACATTTTTTTTTCCAAAAAATAAGCACCTTGTTTGCTGTAAATTTTAGAAAAATAAAAGTGAATAATATTTTGGCGCATCTAAATCAAAATTTTGACAGGAAATTACTTTAGTATAGTCATTAAACTTGATACAATGCTACATATAAAATAGACATTGTATTTGGTCTAGTACTTACCGACTATTTAGAAAATATTGTAAATAATATATAATAATAATTAATACAATTTTTTAATCGTTATAAACGCCGTTTCACATAACATCTTCTAAACCCATAATTATATGGTCTATTACCTTTAGTATTTGAAGTTTGATAATTCAAAACTACCCGATTGACTTTTGACTAATATATATTATCTATAGTTAAAATATTTATGTAAGTATAAGTATTATATTTTTGATGTTATCTCATTAACAACTTAAAATAAATACTAACGGTTCTATCGTTTGTAAAAAAAAAAGTTTATATTATCATAAGACATTTCTTAAGCGAGTGGCATAAAAAAAATTAGATTATTTAAAAATATAATCCTAATATCCTATTATAATATAGGCAGATACTAAAAAATTTTAAAAGTCATAATTTGTATAAATTAATCATATCAATAATGAAAAACGAGGGCGAGCGTACATAACGATGAATTATTGCTATTTAATTTTTAAAGATTTATATTCTTTATTCGCATATACGCATGAACTATTACATACGTAATAATATGTACCTACTAACTTAATGACTGATTAAAAATATAATAAACTATTTGCATTAAAAATATTAAATAGATGGTTGATATTTCTCTCTTCGGTAGTATATTTGATAAAATTTAAAACAGTATTTTTTAATTCTGAATACGCCATTGATCAACCTATATACCTATTACCCATACGTGTATAGTATACACTGTATACGGTACACGCGTATTTTACGTAATCATTCAGTACAAATCGTTTATACGATTAATGACACCAGGTAATTTAATGGCATAAAAATTATTAAAAACTCATATTATTCATATATACTATTTTGTATCTGTTAGATTAGGTTACACTCGTGTAGTGTGATCATACGGACGCAATGATACATTTTTTATAAGAAAAATGTATATACGTAACGAACACTGTTGTAACGTAACTGTTTAATAAAAAATTGAAAACAAAATAGTTAAAACGCGACTCTTACGCGATAATTTCGGTTTTTATGGCAATCGGTTAGCGTGACCTATTTTTCCTGGTCCCCCGAACGTCACTTTATAAATGACATTTAAACATAATATAATATATACCTACCGTATAATGTAGTGTTTTCATGGTAAAAAATGTGCTGACGGAGAATAATTTTCCTTTTTCTCAGGACTCGTACTGTTATGGCCAGTGGATGACGTGTTTACCGCCGACGCCGATACCACCACCGTCTCCTCGGCCGTGGCAAGCGCCTCGTCGGCCATCGCCACTGCGTCCTCGGCAATCGCCACCGCCTCGTCGGCCATCGCCACTGCGTCTTCGGCCATCGCCACCGCCTCCTCGGCCGTCGTCGCTGACCCGTCGTCCGCCGCGGTGGACGCGATCGCTTGCGACAACGATACCGCCGACCTATGTAACACCGCGGCTACCGTCACTTCCACGACTTCCGCCAGAAGTGGAAACGACGACGATTGTAGCACGGTTGCAGCGTCCGCACTGAGGCTAGGACACGGTGCGGAAGAGTCGCCGACTGCTGCACGAGTCAACGACGACCGCGGACGAATCGACCGAAATCTCGACGTGGATGATTCTCGTCGCCGTGTCGACGATTATGGCCGAGTCGTCGTCCGACCCAGGACCGTCGGCTTGAAAACGATCGAGCGAATCATACTGACAGCCGTGAGCATGTTTTTCGAAAAACTGGAGTTGGCCGTTTTCATGTCGCTGTACAAAATTAAAGTCCTTTACACCACGTTGATATCGCCGGTGTTGCATAGTTTTTAGCTTTTACGTTATTCGTCCCTTTTGGATCATTATCACGATAACGTATTGTGCGACGATAACACAAAGTACAAACTCGTTGTAATCGTGTATTTTCGTCGCATTTAAAATCACTGGTCTATCATAATATACTTACGCATTATTCTTGAAAAATATTTATAAAAAAAAAAAACAAAAACCGTTTCGTGACATGTAATTATCTACGTTTCATCGATCAGCCGTATAAAAACTACTGCACATATCATGCACATAATTATTTTATTATTATTATTATTATTATACTGTGTTATATTTACGGCTGTAGGAAGGAACACGTATGTACGCCCATGTGATAATAAAAACAACTGCTGTTGCGAATATTATATAATACCGTGTGTGTGCACCACTAATATTAATATAAGTATTATTATAATAATCATTATTATTGAACGTTCAATTTTTATTTTTATATCATTCATGTCAACCTATTTTCAATTTTGTTCTTATGATAATTACAAGTAGGTATATATATGTGTTACATTATTTATAAACGTATATTGGAAAACCGTAGCGAACGACTTGCGCCTCGGGGAAAAACTATTATATACCTATAGTACACTGCAGTAAGCATGTCAATAACGGTAAATATCAAAAATATCAACTGAACCAAAAATATTAAATGTAGGTACCGCTACTATGCGGGTCGTATAAAAAAAAAAAACTTATTGAGAAAAAAATAAATACAAATGTTGCTGGGAAAATATGTCTACATATATGTATGTATATAACCCATCAAAAATATATTTCTCAATTTAACACAGTTAAGATACAAAACGAAAATGTTTTCAAGGTTTTTTGAACGTTTTGTCGTTCAAATTATGATCACCCTTAATTATGTATTTGTCCAATAATGCTGATGGCCGTGATTCGCACAAAAAAATGTCGAAAGCTGCACGTATAAGCTGCTCTGTAAGTCACGAAATATTGATGCGCACTGTTATTTTTATCACCGATTATGATCATTAGCGCAAAAGAATACGTTTAGGATAATAGTGTACATATAGGTACAATAATATAATTTAGCAATTTACAACGTTTAAATTAAAATATTTAGAGTTTGACATTTATATTTTGTACGGTTGTATGAAGTACGAATATAGGTACCCCTCAGACGCGAATCTATAGATCTGAAACGGGAATAACATTTTATGTAGAAATAATAAAATTATAATTTCAGTACATATTAAAATTTAAAAAAAATTATAGAGAACATTATATAAGTTATATTTGATAACAATAGTAAGAATTTTATTTATATTTTAAACTTATACATTTTTAGACATATTATGAATTATTTATTATATAAATTAATAGATAAAATAAAACATTTTCAGAGGCAAAGGCTAAAGTTACTAAGCCTTCTCCTAGATCCACGTTTATAGGTACGTACATGAGTTTTGCAAAAAAAAAAAATAATAAATAAAAAAAACATGCGCATAAGTACCGCCCCTTGGTGTTAGAAAACAATTATTTATTGTTAAATTTACTAGTGTAAATGATATATAAATATAATGTACAAATTTAAACAAAAAGAATATTTAAAGTATAATATAATGTTATTTTTAATCGAACATGTTCGTTTCAGTTAATTTTATCGTATGCTTATAATATTATAATAAGCAAAAATACAATTAACTCGCAACGTTTGTGATCAATTAATACTCAATGATTTTAATGTATACTGTTGCGTATTTTGAGTATTTATACATCATGTTTTTAATTTTAAAATCATATTTTGAATGTTTATCGAAAATCTATAGCACTTTAATAAATGTTTTTAGTAAATTAAGGTTTACGATATTATTTAATTAAACTGTGATTTTTTTCATAAAAATGAAATAGACTTATTTTAATTTTAATAATAGTCAGTAAATATTTTAGATTAGAATAAAGAGCAAAATAAAGCTTATACTTTTATTAAGATAATTTATTATATTATCTATTTTTGTTGAAAGTTACGTACGCGTGGTAATGGTTCAATAATTATTTATTTTTTATCAAGACATATTTTAAAACTGTTTAATACACAAGTGTAAATTTTTAAATGCATATTTGATAATATTTTATTCCATTAAAGCTCTAGGTTTACATTTTACCATATATTCGTAAAGAATATGGATTTTAATTGAAATAAATACAGAGTGGTACATAAAATATGCATCGGTTTTTAGATAAAGTTTACATTTTTCGATACTGCAGTAATATATCTAGTTTTTACACCAAGTTTTAAAGACTACATCTCTAATTTCAATGACTATACTGCGACAAATGTCCCCAAAGCGCCTGATCTCTTTGAGGAGTGGAGTGTGACTAAACGTGTGTCTTAACGTAGAGTGGACTGTGCGTTCATTAAATTTGAGCATTTGTGGTTTTTTTTTTATTTAGAAATTCAGATACCTAAAGGATAAAGTGTTTAAATATCATCCTCACACCTTAGAAAAACTTAAAGAGAGAATTGGGGAGGAATTTACGGCTCTACCCATCCGAATGTGCCAACAAGCGATTGAAAACTACCGGAATCGCCTACAAAAGTGCATTGCTACTGACAGTCACCACCTTAGAAATATAATCTCTAAAACTCCATGCAAAAAAAATAGACACACTGCTGAATCGAAAAAATATAAATTTTATTTCTGTAAGTTAAATAGTTTTTATTCTACAGCCTTTCAAAAGCGATGCATATTTTATATTCCCCACTCTGTATTTTCATGTAATTTGAATATCAAAGAGTCGACTACATTTGAATAAATTAAAAGTTTTATAATATTTTCAATAAATTGACATAAATTATACTTTAAATATTTCACTTATAAACACTGAATATTTTTATAGACATACAGTGTTGTGGAGTAAGTTTGGTCTATCGACAAATGTTTAAATACATTTTAAATACTATTTTATTATATCGAATACATATAATACTTTGAATATTTATTTATTTTTTTTTTTTTACTAATAATTATAAGTATTTAAAACTATATAATATTATTATTTATTAGCTTTATAAATTATTGAAAAAAAATTACCAAGAAAATCAAAATGTTATCATCACATTAAAATTTAATAAAACTTTTATTTCATCAAATATTTTTTTGCCACTTCTGTTATTTAAAAAAAAAAAATGTAATGCTTTAAGTCAAGTATTTGAATTAGAAATTTAAGTGTTTATAAATAAGTTTTTAACTTAAAACAACAAGTAATATTTCTTTACATTTTAATTTTTGGACAGGTAATATTGAGAGGGCTTTATGTGATAGCGAATTAACTCTGCAAGATAAAAAAAATAATGTTAAAATAACTTAAAACCTTCCAGAATAACGATAGTCTTATAAAATATTAATCCTGAAAAAACGTTTTCTTCAAACACAATAAGACATTATACAATACCTGTTTTATAAATAAAGTTTTTAGTATAATAGTGTATTGTATTTGTTTAAGTAATAAAATAAAATATTATAAGATTAAATGATCATAATTACGTAACGAATGGACGTTTAATTTCTGAACATCGATGGCCACTGAAAATTAAATTAGCTCAGTAGGTGCAAATTACTTTTGATGCCACTATACTTGTAAGTAATTTTCCCCCACTATGTTAGTTCATAATCCTTGCAACACGTAATGAATACATAATATGTGAAATATTACCTTAATGTATGGAATATCATTATTATTTTTTAATTATTAGTATTTATTACTTTTTATCATTTGTTATCAGTTAAAAGTTTAGACTGCATTAAATCGTCAAAAAGCAACGGCATTAAACGCCTAGGATTTACATAAAAGCTGTTAGAAATTCCCTTGTTTGATAAATTCTTTACTATCTATACCTTATAATTGATTATTCAAGTAAAATTTTGAAATTTTTGAAACATTATCTTTATTTCAAATCTTTGTTTAAATAAAGTTTTGAAAAAATGTACAATAATCCACAAAAAATAACGTGAAATTGGGTATATCAGTAAATAAAATATGTCATTAATATTCTAGTTATCAATTTTTTTTATTTTTTCAATCTTTGTTTTAAATTTTTTATGGTGTAGACCATTCTTGTCCAACATCTCTATAGATTATAGGACTCAACAATATAAACTCATTAACAGTGGCGAAACAAACCAAAAATAACCCATAAGCGAATTAAAATTTACACACCAGCCCACCCACTTACCATCTAGATATACCTATCTTATACTTAAAATATTTATTTTTTTTAATTAACGTTTTTACCAATAAAATTATTTAGGTGAATTTATGTACTGTACATATTATTGTATATTATTATTATTATTATTATTGTTGCTGGAAAAACTAAATAAAATAAAACATAATAATGAAATAATTGCATTATATAAGACTAGGGAGTTTCTTTATTCGATAGTAGTATATTTATTAACATATTATTTTAACAGTAATCTAGATAGTAACACTGTATTATTATGTCAACTAAAAACAAAGTTAAAAATATGAAATTAATCATTTATACATCAGCTGTTTTTTTTAAAACGCCTGAAGTCATGGAAATCATATCTATGGCATAATATATGAATTTATTCATTAGTTCTATTACTTCCGTCTGTCGTTACTGCCAATTGTCATTACTCATAATATATTTATATACATAAATTGTAATAAATACTAGTATTAGTAGTACTAATAATTAGTTATTATTAGTCACTTTCATATTGGCATCCACCCACTTCTAAATCTTAAAAAAATATCGAGAACCAATCGCTTCTCAAACATCACGTTCGTTTCGCCACTGCTCATTAGTATATATGTATAATATGTTACAGGCAAAGTGTTGTTCCGACATTTTATAAAATGCTTAGCTATACTATAGATTATAGAATAGTCGAACGAAATGAGCAGAAATAATTTACAATATATATAATGACAAGGTCTACTATGTATTATGTGTGAAATGATTAACTTCAAGTAAGGAAAATACGGAATCTATAAAAAACTGTACAGCACAAATACGGTCAAATAAAAAACTTAAGCCAATTGTATAACTTGATCATGTAAAAAAAGGTCACGGAGATGCGAGAAATTTGTTAGGTATTGTTAATAACTCCTCATAGACATAAGAGCTTTCAAAGTATTTTTACTGAAGCCTCAATATCCCAATCCACTTAATGTTAACAATTTTTGATAATGATTGATGGAGTTCCAACGCGTACACAAATCGCGCATGCAATTTAAGATGAAAAATCAAGAAATGTTAATGTAAAAAAAATATTAATTAATGCAGTTAAAATTGGATGCATCAACCGTAGTATGTTGCACAATAAATAAAATATTGATTTTCAT